AAATACATGTTTTAACAGGTAAGACAAGTTTAAAAACCGTGAACGCACTGTTTTGCCTCATAGGTACACTGCTACCGAACAGCAGAAGTTTCATATCCCTAATTTTAGAGTTATCAAACCCCTACAAATGGTTTCAATATGTCAAATTTTGGGCCAGGAAGGCCCTGTTCCCCCATACCCTCTCCTTAACTCGTCTCGGGTGTCAGCGCCGCAGGCCTAGCTATATGTGCGCCAGGCGCATCGCAGCGTAACAGTGTTTAGTGATATCGCGAAGCCTGTTACGCGAGACGTGGTCTAGCGTACATCTACCTAGCAAAAGATTGTCACTACAAAGATGTAGCCGACTCAATGATGAGGTGCCATCTCATTGGGAAGACAACCGATCCTGAGTTGAAGAAGACTCTGTTGACCGCCTCTCTCCCCTTTCCCCCTTCCCCGCCCTCCTGCACCTTTCCGAACGAAGGTCGAACAGTCAACGGGACGGAGCGCAGGTGACAAGGTCGTAGTAGTAGTAGATATCTTATTAGAAGCTCGTGTTGTGAAGGTGACAAGGTCGTGTGTTGTGATTGTTGTGATATGGCTGAAGTGCGGTTTGCGGAGATGCGGAAAGGGGTACCAAGCCTAATTGTGCATAACTACAACTTTTCTCGGAAGAAGGGCCGAGAGAACAGCCCTATGTGGAGGTACGTGTCAGTGTTTTTTTTAACAGAGCGGATGTGTGTTCCAACTAGCTCGGATATTGGTTTCAGTTGCACCAACAAGCTTTGCAAGTGCCGTGCAGTACTGGACGGGCACGGCAAGCTAAAGGAATTGATTGGGACGCACACCGACACTTGCAAACAATTAACGGAAAGGGAGACTGAGCGAATCACCTGCAGGACGTCGGTCAAAAGAAAAGCGGAGGAGTCTATTACCTGTCGGCCCATGAAGCTCATCAGAAAGGAGTTGCGCGCGACAGATTTCCAAAACCTACAGGCTTCTGACTTGAGCTTGGTAAGCTGCATGTAAATATTATTTTGTTAATGTATCTACATTCAGAAACATAGTCATTATAAGGGGTTTTGTTTTAGATTCGAAGAAGCTTGTATAGGCAAAGGCAAATATTAGTGCCGGGCCTTCCTCGATCAAGAGAGGAAACCACTCAATACCTTTTCAGAGAGCAAGAAAATTTGTTGACAAATAAGGGGGAGAAATTTGTCCACGTCAAGAAAGACGGTTTAATCATGCTCACAACCGAGAGTAACCTAAGGCAAGTTTTGTTTTCGTTGTTGTTCTTTGTCGCCGTCGAGTGTGTCCGAATTCCCAATCGTATCGCTACGAATCGGTCGGAAATGACGAAGGGGAGGGGGTGGTCAGCAGGGAGGGCAACCTGCAGCCATCCCTCGCGAAAGGATGTCGCGATTCGCGCTCGTCCGCGGGGGTAGTCGCGAA